TAACAATTGCACGGCTAATATGCGGTAAGTGCGACAAAAAGTTGATCTTCATGAATCGATATGCCTTAGTATATTCTGAAATAGAAGGTTTGATATATGAGATGATTTAAAACATGTATTTCTTCTTTCTATTAGGGAGAGCATTTGTAGATTTTCTAGTTAATGTGGTCCATTGAGGGTCTCCATATTCTTTTTGAGGCGGTGATCTCCTTATTTCAAACCATACTTTTCACATGCCATTTTCGGGCTTTCCTCACCTTTAAACTTTTCAAAGTTTGTAGTAGTGTTGATCTCGAATCAATCACTAAAAAACAAGTGTTTCTTCATATTTTAATGGTTTTGCTAGATTGCTTACTCGAATCTCACTCGATTTAGTCAAATGGAACTTTGGTTCACTAAAAAAATGCAACCTGTGCATGAAAAACATAACGGTGTGGACAAAAATAATACATGTTGCACTTTTCACTGAATTGGTATCGTGTTTTTCTTAATCGCTTGTGTCTTAGTCAACCAATATACTACTTCATTTAGGGTAAGGTAACAAAAAAACTCTAGGCAATTTTAACAAGAAAACACAATTATATTACTCCCTCCGTCCCATAATGTAAGACTTTTTTTTTGACTCTATTGTAGTGTCAAAAAAACGTCTTACATTATGGGATGGAGGGAGTAGTAATTAGTAAAAGAAAAAATGACCTGGTTAGTTACTTAATGAGGAATATGAGTCACATGCCAAGCTTAGCTATTTGGGAAAAAATATCCAAAGTTTCACATTTTTTTGATATTTGTGTTTTATTCAATCTCACATATGTTTTTTCAAGAAAAACTAGATAATTGTCCATGTGTTGCAACGGGTGTAAATATTATGTAGTATATTAGCCCATGATTACCGGACGTGGAGTTTGTCAACTCGAGCGCACATGAGCTTAGGTGAAGAATAAAATCCAAAAAAAATAGTAAAAAATTGTGTTTTTCTTTTGCAAGAAACATTGATTTTTTTCTACATACGTGCAAATTTTCATGATGTAATCAAACTTGTGGAGGTGTGAGAAAGAATGGATACAAAAAAAGGGATTTTGGAAGCATTTTGAAGCACCAATTTTGGTTTTTCGTCCATAACTCTAGAAATGTGATTCCATCGTGAAAAGTTGCATGCGTATAGAAAAAACATCAATGATTCTTTCAAAAAAACAATTTTATTTTGACTTTTTAGTATTTTTTCTTCAGAATTTTCTGTTCACTTGGGGTCGAGCTCATAATAGCACTTTCGATGATTACCTTAATTGTTTATGAAATCATGTCGTGATTTATGTACCTACATGAATTTCGGAATTTTCTTTGATAATCACTTGTTTGGTCTCGAAATTCTTTTTGAGGCGATAGTGTCCTAATTTCAAACCGTTCACGTTCCATTTTCGGGTTTTGCTATCCTTTACAACTTCCAACAGAAAACAGGCCACATCAGCTCAGCAAGCCAGCCAGCATGGTCAACCGAGGACGCTTGGCTTAAACCTACCTCGTTGACTCGGACAAACCCAAAGCATGAACAGAAACAGAGCAGAACAGAACAGAGCGCTGGGTGGGCCCGACCAACGCCGCCGGCCGCTCCCCTATATAAACGCCCTCCCTCCCTCCTCCTCCCCCTGCTCCTTTCTCATTTCCAAGCCAACCCAACCCAACCCAAGAAACGCTCGAGCAACCCACCGGCCACCGCGCTGACCGAAACGCGCGTCGAGGAACCGAACCCCTGTTCTTTTCTCGCGGGTGCCCTTCTGTTTCAAGAAGCGGAAGGAGGAGGAAGGCATGGGGGCGCCGGAGTGCTGGTGGTCGACGTGGAGGGGGCTGGCCGTCGCCGTCACGGCGGCGTGCCTGCTCCCGCACGTGGCGGCGCGGGTGACGGACGCGCTGTGGTGGCGGCCGCGGCGGCTGGAGGCGCACTTCGCGCGGCAGGGCGTGCGCGGCCCGCCGTACCGCTTCCTCGTCGGCTGCGTCCGGGAGATGGTGGCGCTCATGGCGGAGGCCACCGCCAAGCCCATGTCGCCGGCCACCTCCCACAACGCGCTGCCCCGGGTGCTCGCCTTCTACCACTACTGGAGGAAGATCTACGGTATGTATGCATGCGCCGCGTGTTTCTTCCCTTCTCTTGTTGTCAGCGGCTCACGTTCTCCGCAATCAATGGGTGGAGTTTTAATGGTGGTTGGGTCTTGTCGTGGCGGCGCAGGGCCGACGTTCTTGATATGGTTCGGGCCGACGCCGCGGCTTACGGTGGCGGATCCCGAGCTCGTCCGCGAGATCTTCCTGACGCGCGCGGAGGCGTTCGACCGCTACGAGGCGCACCCCATCGTCCGGCAGCTTGAGGGAGACGGGCTCGTCAGCCTACACGGCGACAAGTGGGCCCTCCACCGCCGCGTTCTCGCCCCCGCCTTCTACCCCGACAACCTCAACGTACGAATGAAACGCATACCGCCCTTTCTCTTTGGCCCGCTTAGCTTGGTCAGTGTGCAGCGACTGACACGGTGCCGCGCCGGCGATGTTTTTTGCAGAGGCTGGTGCCGCACGTCGGGAGGTCGGTGGCGGCGCTGGCGGAGAGGTGGCGGGCGATGGCGTGCGCAAGCGGCGGCGAGGTGGAGGTGGACGTGGCGGAGTGGTTCCAGGCGGTGGCCGAGGAGGCCATCACGCGCGCCACGTTCGGCCGCAGCTACGCCTCCGGCCGCGTGGTGTTCCGCATGCAGGGCCGCCTCATGGCCTTCGCCTCCGAGGCCTTCCGCAAGGTGCTCGTCCCGGGCTACCGGTACGTCAAATCAAATACGACATTAATCCCAACCGAAATCAGTCACCGCTCAGAGATTCTCCATTAACATCTCCATGCTTCTGTACTCATGTGTGCGCCGTCGTCAATTCAATCGATTTGCAGGTTCTTGCCGACCAAGAAGAACCGGATGTCGTGGGGCCTGGACAGGGAGATCAGGCGGGGCCTAGTCCAGCTCATCGGCCGGCGCAGCGACGCCGCCGAGGACCACGAGGCGGAGATCAAGGAGAAGGGCAACAGCGGCGGCTTCAGGGACCTGCTGGGGCTGATGATCAATGCCCGCGACAAGAAGTCGCAGGCCATGCCGGTGGAGGAGATGGTGGAGGAGTGCAAGACGTTCTTCTTCGCCGGCAAGCAGACGACCACCAACCTGCTGACCTGGGCCACCGTGCTCCTCGCCATGCACCCGGAGTGGCAGGACCGCGCCCGGCAGGAGGTCCTCGCCGTGTGCGGCCCGGGCGAGCTCCCCACCAAGGAGCACCTGCACAAGCTGAAAACGGTACGCCACCCACACATCACTGTTCCGAAACCGAAAGTACCCGAAGGATGATCTTTCAAACAAAACGTCCGGAGGGGCATTCCGGTAACTCCGCAGCGACGAAAAAAGACTCACCTTGTTTCTTGTCCCGTGTCCCGTTCCAGCTGGGGATGATCCTGAACGAGACGCTGAGGCTGTACCCACCGGCCGTGGCCACCATCCGCAGGGCCAAGGTGGATGTCACCCTCGGCGACCTGGCGATCCCGCGCGACACGGAGCTGCTGATCCCGATCATGGCGATCCACCACGACGCCAGGTTCTGGGGGCCCGACGCGGCGCAGTTCAACCCCGGCCGGTTCGCCGGCGGCGCGGCGCGGGCGGCGACGCACCCGCTGGCGTTCATCCCGTTCGGGCTCGGGTCCCGGATGTGCGTCGGCCAGAACCTCGCGCTGCTCGAGGCCAAGCTCACCGTGGCCGTCCTGCTCCAGCGCTTCGAGCTGAGGCCGTCGCCCAAGTACGTGCACGCGCCGACGGTGCTGATGCTGCTGCACCCGCAGTACGGCGCGCCCGTGATCTTCCGCCCCCTGTCGTCGCCGTCCGCCGTCCGCGTCGATCCACGCTAGCTAACCAGCCAACGAACTCTCTCTAGGCCTCTAGGACTAGGAATTGACAGAAATGACCCGGCCGTGCTGTGTGTACATAAGCCTAATGACACGGAACCGCTAACGGAAAGCAGCTTCGCCATGGATGGCCCTCGCTAACTGTACTGGAGTAGTAGAGTAGATCATCGGAGCAGAGCAGGACCTTTAGGATTTGATGGCACAGGACAGGAGAAGGCGGGGCCCGCGGCCCCCTGCCCGGTCGCTTCCATTTGTTCTCTTCTCCTTCCACGGATTCTGGCCGCGTTTGTGTGTACGTACGTACTCCTACATCACAGCTGTGTGTTTTATTCCGGCTATTCTTTAGTTATTATTAGAGCAAGAAAAAGAAAAAGGGATGATCAATCCAGACTTCCAGAGCAGCGGAAAAGCTGTATGGGGATGGGAAATTTGTTCGCCGTGCACGTACGCGGTATTCCGGCCTTGTGCTCCTCTCCTTTTCCGTTTGCGTCGTGCCTGGTTGTGTCGTGTTGACAATTCATGGCAGAATCTCTGGTAGTAGTTGTACGAAGGGAGGAATACGCTTTGTGCATGCTGTGCTGTGCTGCTGACGATGCTGTGCAGATTCTAACTGAAGTCCACTGTGCTGCCAGTGTGTCGCCCACTCCACCCTGTCCTCTTCCTCGTGTCTTCTCTTGGTCTTTTTCGTTTTTCTGCATTAGGTTTTATTTCCTTCATCCAAAAAAAGAAGGAAGTACCTAGAAGTTATCTAGATGAGACATAATTTGGTCTCATTCACTTTAAAAACAAAAATAGATACAACCCACGTCAGCACACACGCATCTTATAGCATCACATTCAATGGCTATAAAAGGTGAATGAGACCAAATTATATCTCATCTAAATGAGTTCTAGCAAAACTGAAAAAAGAACCCCGCCAATTTCTTTCCAAGCCGTTTGCTTTAAGGGCAGCGTCAGTTCTCAACCACAATTTTCTCGGCCGGCCAAAGCCAGAGCACCTTGTGTCCATGTACATATTCACGATAATTTCTTGCATGTTTGAATCTTTATCAAGTGTCGATGTGTATATTCACGATGTTTTTCTCGCATGTTTGAATCTTCTTCAAGAGCTTCAACGAAAAAGAAGACGGATTTTTTCCGCCAAGCCATCTGACTCGGATGGCTGATACTACTATTTCTTTCTAGAAAGCAGTCCTTTCTTGTTGGAGGTCCCAATTGTGCTAGGGTATTGTAAGTTTTTTGAAGATCGGCTATGTTTTCTTTTCACCTCTTTCCTCCTCCAAGGTGTTTCTCAATAGTCGACCTCGCCCATTTTCCTGCCATGGTCGAGGTCTTCGCCAAGGGGCTCCCTCACACTGTTATTTAGTTTTTGGTGGATTCACCGCAAAAACATATTTATCTCGATATGCAAGCATATCATCTCAACAAGCAACATGCATGCCTAAAAGACCCACCTCAACATGCAACCATTCATGAAAAAAGGTTGACCTCAAAATTCAAACATGCATGAGAATTTCCATTCTATTATGTTAATCATATTGTAAAAGTTCCACGACTGTACAATAATCAAACACAATAAAATATATATATTCAGTTTTAGTTCTCATGTTATTAATGCAAATATTCATATTCCATACAAGTAAATATCACTAAAATATAGTACAAAACATTCCCGCAATAACTTGATGGGTATCATCTTGTTCATTTTATTGATAGCTCCGCTGTAATAAACTTTCACGCATTTGGCGAAGGTTGAGCTACTTAAGCTAATTATATAGCCAATAATGTTTACGCTATAATAATTGGTTTCAAGCAATGATTGACACAACATAAAAGTAAAAGAAAGGCCCTCAGAAGAGAGAAGAAGGGATTGTCATGCGCTTTTTGTTGAAAATTCAAGAGTTTAGTTTGTTGAAATAATAATTCCACATTGCCCCATTACACGGTGCTGGACCTTTTTTATTGTTTTTTCAGGTCCCCATCACAAGTTCGTGGAAAATTATCATTCCCACACAATAAAAACTCAAACAAGGGAAATTTTTAGTTGTCAATGTGTTGCCTACGATGATGACAATTTACTTGGAGTGACCTTATTACTCGGTCACATAAGTAGTATAGTGGACACTTGTGGGACTAACTTGGCTTAGTTTATGGATGCACAAGCAAAATTCATGCTTAGTACAAATAAGTTTGGGCTAGAAAGCTCTAAGTAAATGATGCTTGTTGGAGGGCCCATGAGTAATGGTTTTTAACGTATGATCACATATACACGCTCACTTGGTTGTCTTTCATTCCCAACTGATGCGGAGCATCCTACGGTCATCTCCATGTACACCTTCATAGCACCTCAAGTCCCAAGTGCACCTATCGGACTTAAGGTGAACCCACTCCTCTTCGAGATTGACATGAATATCCATTGGACTTGGTTGCTACCTCACCATGGAACATTGTGCATCATTAGGTACAAGGACGACCGCCACCAAGCAGCTAGGGAGCATCTCGGAGGCCGAGGAGAAGGACCCCAAGGCCACAAGGAAGAAGGAGGAGTTCACCAAGATCAAAGCAGGAAGTCCCAGGCAACCCCGTGCGCACGGCCTCCCCCGACCCCATGCCCACGGGCCTCCTAGAAAGCTACTAGAAGTGAAGACGCACACCCCCTTGCACACGGCCTCCAAACCCCATGTGCACGGGCCCTCGCCGATGTAGCACCCCATTCGCACGGGCTTGTACCGTGCGCATAAGACCCATGTGCGCACGGGCCCATCAGGAAGCTAGCCGAAAGCCACCTGTTCGGGCCTCCACTTCGTCCCCCTCCTCCAGCTACCTATATATTTCGTGCCTAGGTCATTTGTTAGGGTTAGCAAAGTACATGATATAATCTTGAGAGCTTTGCTCCTATCTACCCTCTCCCATGAAGATCAAAACCTCCTAGGAGAAGAACCCTAGTGGATATCAAGACCCCATCTAGGGAAGGATCCCCATCATAGGATCATCAAGGCCTCATCTCCCTTTGGGATTTGGGATGAACTTTACCTTGTGCTATTTTCTCTTTGTTGTTCATGTATCTTTTGGATCCATGTGTTGCTAGTCTAGTGGATGTGTAATTGGGCTTGTTCTTGAGTGTTCCTTTTGTGATTCTCCCTCTTGTTCTTCGTGTTCTTCGTGGTTCCCCCTCCAATTCGTGAAAGATCTCCACTTAGGGTCTCTACCCTACAACATCATGGTATCATGAGCCATGTTGATCACGAATTTGAAGTCTTGCCCATCGTTTTCTAGACTAATTTTGCTTGTTCTTGCGCAATTTCAAAAAATCCCCTTCAAAAATAGCCCCCAAATTTTTTGCAATTTGTTGGTTATTATGAGATTTTGTTGTGTTTGATCCATGATTTTATGGTTTGGCAAGTAGATCTTGGCTTTCCCCAACTCTCCACCATGAAATCCACAACCAATTTTTCTTTCCCACCTCAAATCTGAGCCCCGAAATCACGAAGTTTCCACCATCCCCATGCCCACGGGCCCCCAACCCCGTGCCCCCCTGCAAAGTCCTAGGACACCCAGTGCCCACGGCCCTTGTACCATGTGCACGGGACCCCGTGCCCATGCCTTCCTAACCCCGTGTGCGCACGACCACTACAAAAAAAGACATATGCGTGACATTTTGGGCCGAACATTTTTTTCTGTCATACTTATGACACTTCTATGACGATAATTGTGACAAAACCCGGTATCATCATAGATGTGGTGGGCTCCTACTTCTATGACAAAAAATCATGACAGAAAATTGGCTTTTCGTCCTGGACGGGCCGGAGACGCAGCTGCATGACATTCTTTGGGCCGTCCATGACGGAAAAAACCGTGGTAGAAGCGAGGGCGAGGAAAATATCGGGGTGTTCCCGGTTACGGTGGGTGGTCGGGGCCGAGCGATGCACGGAGGTTGCGCATTTCTCTCGTACGCGCACGCGCATGGGTGCGAGGTGTTGGGCTCTAACTGAACCTGAGCGAGGCGTTCGCCTACTGAACCGAGTGATTGCACTGCAGGCTACGCGTTACTGAACCCGAGCAATCGATCGATGGCTGTTAACTGAACCCGATCGAGCGATTCCTTCGCTATTGCTGCTAACTAAAGCCGATCGATGCTGCCTCTGGATGAGCAGTGAGCGTTGTTGGGGTTTTTGGATGAACAGTTCCCGGTGGGGGTGGATGAATTGGACCCCATGGTGTTGCCTTTGGATGAACAGGACCCCGATCGATCGAGCCGGTTGGGGCTGGATGAACAGGACCCCGTGGAGGGCTGGATGAATAGGACGACCCCGTGGAGGGCTGGATGAACAGTAGACGGTGGAGGGGTGGATGAACAGTAGCCCGTGGAGGGGTGGTTGAACAGGAGCCCGTGGAGAGGGCTGGTTGAACAGTAGCCGGTGGAGTAGTGCGCGATGGAGGCTGGATGAACAG